GGAGCAGCCCTGCCTCTTTCTCCTTGTTTGCATCTTGTAAATCCCTGCTGCTCCTCAGCTCCCTCTCTTCCCCGGGCCTGTGGGCGCTCCCATTATACACACAGCCCCTGGTTCTCCCTGGGGTTCCACTCTGGGCCCCATGGCTCGCTCTGAGCCCCTTGCCACCTGGGAGACACTTGGTAGGTAGCCCTTGTGTACCCTGGGGGAACAGCAGCATGGAGAGACCGAATGGCTGGCCCCAGGCCACTCCAGGGAGTGATCCCAGCTTGTTGTGCCGGGGGGAAGTGGGGCTGCTGAGCTCTGCGGGTGACCCCTGTGGGATGTCTCCCAGGGAGTGGGGCAGGAGTAGCTGCCTAAAGTCCCACACTCTGCTTTGGTGGGCACAAGGGAGGCAGGAGGCTGTAGTGGGGGAGGAGAAAGACTTCTCCCTCCACCCGCCAAGCTGGTTCCCAGGGGACAGGCACAGAGATGCTCTGGGGTGGGACCCCTGCAGTGCAGATGGCCATCCTGTGCTGTGCCTTCCCATGACTCCCCCTCCTTTCACCCCCCGGGACCCGACTCTGTCCTCTCCTGGCCCCCTTCTTTCCCCCCAGCGGCAGGTGGAGCTCGAAAGGCAGCGGGTGACATCTGAGTGTGAGCAGCTCCGCCAGCTCCTGGCCAAAGAAGAGGGCCTGCGGCTGGCCCAGCTGGGCGAGCTGGACAGCATGATCACCAGGAGGAAGAAGGAAAGTGTCACCCGCCTGGGGGAGGAGATTTCACGCCTCAGTGCCCTGATCGTGGAGCTGGAAGGGAAGTGCCAGCAACCCGCCCCTGAATTCCTGCAGGTGGGGCTGTGCCGTCCGCGCCCCAGTGCCCGGAGGGAGGGGGGCAGGATTGGTGTTTACCACCTCATGGCAGACAGCTAAGGAGGGCTCAGTGCACATCCCCTTGGCTATGGCCTTCCAGCATTCGCTGAGCTGGTCAAACTGCTTTAACTCGGAAAACAGGAGAACTACGGGCCCTGAGCTTGTGCTCAGACTTGCCCACAGCAAGCCCAGATTCCAGGTGCAGAACTCGAGCATGTCAGTGGTGCTTGGGCTTCTGCCAGGGCTCTCTGCCCAGGAGTGAGCTGTTTGGGACATGCCAAGGGCCTCTGTTGTTTTGGCAACTTTTCTCCTTCTGTTTGGCTTTGCTGCTGTTGCTAACTGTAAACAGCTCTCCAGGGCAGAACTGCAGGTACCAAACGCTCGTGGCCCTGCGGCCACTGGCCCCTGGACCCCAAAACCTGATCCGAGCCCACCCCGTGGAAGTAAAGGTGCGAGGCCTTACAGCCACTTGGAGCACATCTACATTGCAAAAACAGACCCACACCCGGGAGTCTCAGAGCCTGGCTCCCTAGGCTAGGCTTGCGCTGCTGGGTTAAAAATAGTCCTGTAGACTCTGCGGGGCCCCAGCCAGGTCTACACTGCAGCACAAACCTGTGTGAGTGGGCCCAATCTCTGAGAATTGCTGCCAAGGGTCTATTTTCACAGTGTAGATGTTCTCTTAGAGCGCCCGGAGAAGAGGGCAGTGGGCAGCTAACCTGTAGCCATGACAACACATTCGGGTGGGCGCTGCAGTCTCCACAGGACAGCTGTTTTGTTTTGATGCCTCAACTTGTTTGAAACATTCAGTTTATTGTTCCGTTAACTCGTGTCAGTGGGAACCCGGCAGCCATGGTTGGGATCAGGGCTGCATTGTACCAGGACCTGCACAGTCCACTCTGGCCCTGAGGGGCTCACACTCAGCTGACCAGACCAGGGTGGCAGGGGAAACCAAGGCAGGCAGGGACTCTTCCGGCACTGTGTCAGGCCCCAGGTGTCCGGATTCCCACATCTAGTAGGCTGCTCTACCTACCAAAAGCTGGTGTTCCAAAGGGACTGTGGAGCCCCCAGCTCCTACTGACTTCCCCTGGGACCTGGGCCCCTGACTCTCGCAGGCCCTGCTGGAAACCCCGGCCAGGAGATGCCCCGTTCAGTTCCAACATGAACCCAATGCTTTGGAAGCCTGGGAATGAGCAGTTGCCCAGCAGGCAGGACAGGGGCTGGGAGAGCCAGGGGCCTGCGTGGGGCAGGGGTCTGAGCTGGACCATGGGCATTGACTCTGCTCTGTCTCTCATTCCCTTCTAGGGTGTCAGAAGCACCGTGAGCAGGTACGTCCGGGCTCTGCCTGTCGCTTGTGCCCTGTCATGCTGGGAAGAGGCTCAGAGACCAGGCTATAGATCCAGCACCCCATGCCGTGGTCTCACGCTCTCTCCCCCTCACCCCAAAGTGTTTCTGCCATGGCCCATCCTTGTGGAAGGGATTGACCCACGGTCTCTGGGATGGAAAGCCCTGCCTGGGGGCCAGGCTACCTGAGGGGATCTGTCCCCAGGCTGTGGGGCTGCCTTTCACCCCAAAGACCCTCGTAGCTGCTGGAAGGGCTGGGGATTTAGGACACAGCCATGAGATGAACAAACACTTTTGTATCCCCTGCAGGGCTGAGAAGGTGACTTCACAGCATTTGATGCTCATTTCCCAGAAGCTGGGCAGGAGGAGCTGGGCATTTCCTCGAGGGAGCAGACTGCTGACAGCGCTTGGGGGATTTGTGGGTAAAACTCATTCTCTGAGCAGTGTGAAAGCAGGATGGGGAGGCCTCCCAGGGGAAATGCCAGGGAGCTGGGGATATGGAGATCTATCCATCTATCTATCTGCCTACCTACCTATCTGTCGCTGACTACAATTCACTCTCATGCTTCAAGCTTTCATTCAGTTGCATGCAGGGGTCAGGAAGGAATTTATTTCCCCAGTGATCTATCCATCCATCCATCCATCTACCTACCTACCTATCTGTCGCTGACTACAATTCACTCTCATGCTTCAAGCTTTCATTCAGTTGCATGCAGGGGTCAGGAAGGAATTTATTTCCCCAGTGCAGACTTGGTCAGATGTATTCTGGGTTTTTATGTTTGTTTTTTGCTTTCCTTTAAAGTATCAGGGATGGGCAACAGCTGGAGATGGGATTCTAGGTGGGTGGCACAATGCTTTGAGGCAGGACAGAGAATCCTCTGTCTGGATACTTGGCTGGTGGGTCCTTCTCATATGCTCAGGGTCAGACTGATCACCGAGCTAGAGTCTAGGAAGGAATTGGGCCCTAGCTCAGACTGGCAGGTCCTTGAGATGGGGGAGATCAGCTTCCTCTGTGGCATGGGGCATGGATCACCTACTGGGATTGTCTGACCACTTCCCACCTACTCAGTTCCCAGGCCTCAAGCATTGGGATACCACGGTCCCTCCTGGTCCCTTCCTGTCCTCCCCCTCCCCTCTGCACTCCCCAGCAGCAGTAGGGGAAGTAGAGCAAAGCGGGGTCCACCCCCCCCACACTTCCCAGCAACAGCAGCAGCACCAGCAGGGGAAGCAGAGAAAGGTGGCCCCAGCTGCTTTGCTCCCTGGCCGCATCGGTCCACTTCCCACCGGTCTTACCCCCTCCCCTGGAGCGGCACAACCAGGAGAGCAAAGCAGCTGGAGGTGCCTTTCTCTGCTTCCCTTGCTGCTGCCGGGGAGTGGGGGTAAGGGTTGTGGACCACTCCTACAGGCACCAGGTCCCCCCGCATAGTCCCCTACTGGCCCCTTATATCCCCCCATGTGTCGCCCCAGCCCTCCTGGCAGGAACACTTGTCCCCACCCCCTCTAACTTCCCAGGGCTCTGAGCCCCCTGCTATACCTGTGCAGACACTGACAGCACACCAGCCTACTCCTGTAGCCTCTGAGGGGTTTTATTTGATGCTAGAAACTTTTTCTTCTCTGAGTTTAATTCTCAGCTCTGGCACAGACGTCCTCGCTGACCTTAGCCAAGTCACTTAATGTGCCTCCATTCCCCAACTGTGGAATGCGTCCCAGAGGTCAGAGGAGAAAGCGATGAGAGTGAGGAGGGCCTGGTGGCTGCAGAGAAATGTGGCGTGTTTCTCTCCCACCCCACATGACACATTCAAGGCACAAGATTTCGTGATCCGATACTTCGGGGGGAACATCAGCCTTCACGGCTGTGCCATTTCTGTGTCTAGAAAACCTCTTTGAGGTTGCTTGTGAGCTTTTCTGTGGCTCCTTTTGTGCCACTGGCCTGTTGGTACACAGCTCAGTCCAGAGCCATTACGTAAAGGCATCTTGAGTGCCGTGCAAAATAGTTGTGAAGTGAAGTGCATCCAGGAGGTGAGGTGTGTTGTGTGGCACAGTTTGAGGGGCCTGAGAGCATGGCCTGCAGAGGAAGGATGGACCCAGGGGTAGGGCACTCACTTGAGAAATGTGTGTTCAATTTCTTGTGCTATCAGGGACTTCTTCAGGAAGTTATGTGGGTAAGTCATGTGTTTAGAATAGCAATGCCTAGCAGATTTAGGCACCTGGATCTCATCTGCAAAAGGCATGTAGGCACTTTGTAAATCCCGACCCACACCAGTGAAACTGTGAAGCCAAAGTAAAAGTGCAGAGTTGTCTGTGTAACTGTGTCTCTGCTAGGTGGCTTTTCCTAGCATGGCTCTCCTTCCCGAACAGGTCACAGATTCATGTTTTAATGGTTTCTGACTTCCAATGGCATCAGTGTTCCTGCAACACTAAAGTGCTTTTGAAAATTCCATCTCATGTTTCTCCTTAGTACCTTCAGGGCCAGATTTCCACTTGGCTCACACGAACCCTGCGGGGATGAACTTCTCTGGAATAAACCTCTTGATTTCCAACTAATGTGAGCGCGGGGTTGTGTGTTCCAGGTTCCTTTTCCTTGCAAGTCCTTCCCTGGACGAGGAATAAATGTGCAGTCCTGGCTGTTTGCATTGCCCTGGCAGTTTGTCTGCTCAAAATACATGGTAAGAATCACTAGTGGAGACTTGCTGAACTGGCAGAAAGATGGGGGGCAGAGAACCCTGGCTGGGAATGGGTTTTCATTCACACGTTCCGCTAAGGCTCATTTACAGCTGGTTTATGAACTGACAGCTAGATGTCCTAAGCATGATCCAGAACGGAGCAGTATGTATCAGAGATGGTTCTGCACTCACTAGAAGTGAACTACCTGCTGGACTCAGTAGCAGCCTATAGCAATTTAACAAGCCTCTATTAAAATACCCATTAATCATTTATTATAAACGAGCGGATTTACCCGGCGTTGCTCAGATCCTTAGCTCAATTAATTTTTGTTTCATGCTTCACTTAAATCATTGCTCTGGGTGGGGCTGGGAGTGAGGGTTTCAGGATGCAGGCTGCCCTGGGGAGAGAGGAACACCCCAGCCCTCTCTCAGCACAGCAGCTTGGGCCCAGGTGAGAAGCACCTCTCCATGGCCACTGCAGCTCCACTGAGCACAGCCAAGGGAGGGGTGCAAGTCCACCAGCTGGGGCAGGTCCAGGTAAGGTTGGGTGGGGCCACTGATCCCCCAGCAGCAGCAGCTCTGGGTTGGATGCCATGGCCAGGGTGAGGGCATTGAGACTCCCCTTCCCTGGCCCCAATGCTAAACTGCCACAGCTAGGGGGGAAGCACAAACATTAGCTGGCCTAGAATGAAGCTGGTGCAGCAGCTCTATGCTGGGGCTGGTGGGCAGAGGTGGCATTCTGCGCATTCTCCCTGAGCCCGCCCTCAGTCTTCTTTCAGCATTCGCCCAGTTAGGTCGGTTTTGAGGACTGTACTTGCTTTGATGAGTCTGTCTCTCTTCTGTTTGGCTTTATGAGCAGCAATCCCTTTCCAGGCACATCCTGTTTTCCTGGCACAAGCACACCCTGACCTTGCTTTAAGTGATGATTAGAGGAAGCTGCATACTGAATTTGGTGGCTCGAGCTTTGACCCTTTAGAGAAGTTCTTGAACAGAGAGGCAGACTCTCTAAAACATATCTTAGACAAGTTATAAACAACCTACATATACAACATAACCAATTTCTAACGAGGGTTTTTTGAAAACCCTCTGAACAGAGCTCAAACATGGCGAGGTCTTCCCTAGCAGATAGGGCTAAAGAGAGAACCCCAAGGTTCTGAACCAAACACTAGAAAAAAGCAGGGTAAAGGAGCTGCTTTTGGGGGGGGGTTCTTTTGACACTGCCACCAGGGCAGCACATCCCCTCAGCAACATCCAATCAGCAGCACAATCCCTACTATAGGGTACTGGTTTAAAGATGATTGTACTGGTGTAGCTTGTTCCTTTGGGGACTGGGAATAAATTACACCAGTAACTGCATCTACATTTGCACCATTATATCACTTAATAATCACACTTCTAATCAACACACTCCCATCGACACAAGCACAGTGAGTAGACCAGGCCTTACACCATCATTTCAATGTACATTCCTGAAAAAAGATGCTCTTATTAATCATATGTTTATTTCTGTTTCTTTTTTAGGGACTTACCCTGCCAAATTTGGTAAGTTGGAGCCTTGCCCCCATATATTATATGCAGCCTGGCATATAAACACCTAGTTTTGGCAGAAAAAAACTTCCAGCCCTGCCAGAGACTTTTGTCTTTTCCTCTCCTTTTATTGCTGACAAAGGGCCAGTGTAAACGCTGCTGGTTTTTTTTGTCCACAGAAGAAGCTTCTGCCAGTATCCCATGAGGCCTGCAGTGATAGCTGTGCTCAGTGTAGTGTGATCTCTGCTGCCCTGTGGGCCCCTCCCCTTTCAAAGCTCCAGGAAGTGTCTGACAGCTGAGTGAGCAGCTCCATTGGGGGAACAAACAAAGAGCAAATCATTGGAATGCTTCTGTTCTGCCCTGTGGCAAGCTGACTGCTGCTGCAGTGGGAGGGCTGGAGAGACTGCTGTGCTGCTTTGACATTCCTCAGCTCAGAGATCAGCTCTGATTTCCCCCCACACTGCACTGTGGGATCCTTATTCACAATGTTTTGCTCCCGACAGGGGAGCTAGCAATGTGGTCAGGAAATGTCGACAATAGGAGGCAGAAAAATCAGTTTGACCAGTTTTCACTTTCAGAAACTTTTGCATGTTTACAGCACTTTTGTCAATGAACCTTCCCAGCGTAGATGTAGTCTAAAAGTGCTTTGACTTGTTCTGGAAGCCAGATAAGCTGTCTCTCTATAAAGCACGTTCATGCCAGTATAACTATGTCTGAACTAAGAGATGTACCAGTGACTATTTTGGTAAAAATCACTCCCTTTACCCAAATAGTGATTCCAGGCCTTATTCCTGTAACGGAAGGGAATAAGCTGGGTAGAGCACCGTTATCCTGGTATAACTGCATCCACACTAGGCGTTATATTAATTTATCTGTTTCTGTAGAAAATGACACCCCTGAAGTAAAAGAGAGAATTCAATGTAGATCAGGCCTATGTGGGCTTGGAAAATACATGTTAGATAAAAGGTGGCCCCTTCTGGTCTCAGAATCTAGAAATCTAGGTTGGGGCTTCAGTGTGTTACCATACTATGTGTACTAGTAATGAAATAAGTGACGATCTAGTGAGCTGCATATCTCAGTGGAACACATGCATCCTATGCCCAGAAATGCCCAGCACAGACCTTGGTTTGCCAAACACCATCACCAGAGTCCTTCAGAATAATCCCCTGACAGCAGGGACAATTTCAGAATGAGAGCTGGGAGGAGGCTTTCCCCTAGAAAACAGCATTGTCAAACAAGGGCATTTGTATGAAAAAATAAGTGTTTTAAAAAATGTCTAGGTTTTATTTTACCTACAAAAATGTTTGAGTTTGGGCTTTTTCTTTGAGTTTTGTTTTGCTTTTTGTTCATTTTACTTTTTTGGTGGTAATAAGGGAAGAAAATGAAAAACAAACCCTTGAAAACTGAACATTTTTCAGAACAACTTTTAATAAATGTGAAATCATTCCATTTTGAACCTGCGGGACACAGGCCATTTCAAAATCTCCTACTAAAAGTCTTCATTGTTTTTCCATCAGTTCATCCCACATGGTTGCACACACTTCACAGGAACTACCCAGGTACCAGGGCTGCTTGACACACACCTCTTGAAGCCAAACAAGGCTGAATGTGGCAAACGCAGACTGCCTAGTTCCAGTGGCCTGGCACACCCAATCATATTGCTAGGCCCCTAGCCTGGCTCTGCATGGGGAGTGGGACTGGCAGGCACTTTGCAGGTCTCTGGTTGGAGTTGGGTCCATTCTGGGTCATGCCAGGCCTGGGTCTCTAAAGCTCTGATTCTCTCTCTCTCTGCAGCCAATGTAGTGCTGGACCAGGACACGGCAAACCCCAAGCTCATCCTGTCTGAAGATGGAAAGGTTGTGAGGATGGGAGACTATGCGCAAAGGCTGGTCAGGAACCCCAACAGATTTGACCTTGAGCCATGTGTGCTGGGTATGGAGGGATTCAACTCAGGGAGACATTTCTGGGTGGTGGAGTTAACGGGGAGGTCTGGCTGGGCAGTAGGGGTGGCCAGACAGTCTGTGCTGAGGAAGAGCAGTCTGAGCCTTCATCCTGAGGAGGGGCTCTGGGCTGTGCATGAGCAGTTCAATGGGTTCAAGGCTCGCACCTCCCCAGAGAACACTGTGCTCCTGGAGGGGAGCCCTGCGAGGATTCGAATTTACCTGGATTATGAAGCAGGGCTGGTGGCATTTTATGATGCTGAGAATGAGGTTCCCATCTTCAATTTCACAGCCTCCTTTGCCACAGAGAAAATTTTCCCTTTCTTTGGAGTGTGGGGCTCCAGAGTCCAAATCAAGCTGGCTCCCCCAGATGCCAAGTAGCCTGCAACACGGGGCCAGTGCTTCGTGCACCAGCTTGTATTTACCCCCATCCAGCCCTTGTACCGTTCCCCTCCCATCTGAAAAAACAGGCCAGCAGGTTAGTGCACCGGGGCCCTGAAGGACTGCGTGGGGAGGGGTCTTCTGGGGAAAGGAGAGTGCTGTAGCAGCTTGTGTGTCATCTGAGCTTGGCACTGCTTGTAGCTGGGAGCAAAGCCTCTTGTTCTGTTGGTGCCAAGTGCAACATCCCTGGGGCTCAGCCATGCAGGTCACCTTGGGTGGCTCCCTCAGACTGCAGTCTGTACTGGCACTGTGGGACAGGGCCTGGATCACTGGGATACAGCTCTCCCTCACCCACCTCATGGGTACCAGCCAACCAGCCATGTGTGCTGCTGATCTGTGATCACAGCAGTCAAGGCCAGCCTGGGACACTCCCCATCATGAGACACACAAGGCCTGGAACTCATGGAATTCAGAATTAAAGTCAGACGCTGCTTTTCCAGGTCCTAGATGCACCGGAGCTCACATGCTCACCCTGACATGTCCCCCCACGGACACACGTTCAGGACTGATCCACATCTAACCGAGTGACTGAGTCCTGCTTGCCAGAGGCACAGGGAATGATATTATTGTAATAGGAATGACCCTGCGGGTTCAGACCATCTAACCCAGCATCCTCTCTTCCAGCAATGGCTGCCATCTATGTCAGAGGGAACAAACAGAATAAGGCAGTCATCAGGTGATCCCTCCTTTAATCCAGCCTATCAGTGTAGGACTTGAATGAATGGTCTGTTATGAGGGGTGGGTTGGTTGGTTGGATTCTTTGTGTCTCAATTCACTGGGGAGAATTAAATAATTTTCACAAAACTTGTATCTTTAAAATGAGCTAGTAAGGGACATTAAGGGAAGGAAAACTTAGCTTGCACATTCTGTTTGATTTTGTTTAATAACCTACATTGTTCTGTCTTCAGTCTCTTCTGACCAGTTAAATCCTACCTTTTCTTTCATGCTTAATAAGCTCACTTTTGTTTATTAATAAACTCAGTGTAAATGTTACCTGCGGGGGCAGCTGTGCATATCTCTCCTTTTACATAAGAAAGAGAGCAGATGATAAGAAGCTTGCTCTGTATAAAACTTTATACAGACAGATGTATCTAGCAGCCTGCTCCCACTGCGGCTGTGCACCCGAGGGCTGTGTCAAGCCCTTTTGACTGAGCCTTTCCAGAACGGAGCTGATCTCAGCATCTGTAGTACTGTGCATAGGTCTGTGACCCCATCTCTGTGTCAGTGCTGGAGAAGGCCAGAGGGCTTGGCTCAGCAAGATGAGGTAAAGGCGTTGCCCAGGGAGGCAGGCTCAGTGGTATCTCAGCACACCAAGGGGATTTCTGTGACCAAAACTATCACATAAAAAGTCAGGATCTGCTGAAACCTGTTGTTCTTTCCAAAGGTGGATATCATTTGTATGTATAACATTATAGGATTTTGCTGGAGAACTGTTATCAAAATATGTTATAAGCTGAAGAGCCTCTGTTGCCATATGTATCAGAGGGGTAGCTGTGTTAGTGTGAATCTGCAAAAACAACTAGAAGTCCTGTGGCACCTTATGACTAACAGATTTATTCAAGATGAGGTAAAGGCATTGCCCAGGGAGGCAGGCTGACCAAAACTATCATATAAAAAGTCGTGATCTGCTGAAACCTGTTGTTCTGTCCAAAGGTGGATATCATTAGTATGTATAACATTATAGGATTTTGCTGGAGAACTGTTATCAAAATATGTTATAAGCTGAAGAGCCTCTGTTGCCATATGTATCAGAGGGGTAGCTGTGTTAGTGTGAATCTGCAAAAACAACTAGAAGTCCTGTGGCACCTTATGACTAACAGATTTATTGGAGCATAAGCTTTCGTGGGCAAAGACCTACTTCGTCAGATGCATGTAGTGGAAATTCATGAAATTAGTCTAGATGCACTAATTCGAATTAGCTTAGTTTGAATTAACTAATTTGAATTAAGTTAGTTCAGATTAGTGCTGTAGTGTAGACATACCCATAGTGACATGCTAGTGGGAAGGGGGTAGTTTTAGAAGGTAAAATAAAAAAAGAACACTTTAAAAATCACCTAGAAAAGTTAGATGCCTGCAAGGCACCAGGGCCTGATGAAATGCATCCTAGAATACTCAAGGAGCTGATAGAGGAGGTATCTGAGCCTCTAGCTATCATCTTTGGAAAATCATGGGAGACAGGAGAGATTCCAGAAGACAGGGAAAGGGCAAATATAGTGCATCTATAAAAAGGGAAAGAAGAACAACCCAGGAAACTACAGACCGGTTAGTTTAACTTCTGTGCCAAGGAAGATAATGGAGCAAGTAATTAAGGAAATCATCTGTAAACACTTGGAAAGTGTCAAGGTGATAGGGAACAGCCAGCATGGATTTGTAAAGAACAAATCATGTCAAACCAATCTGATAGCTTTCTTTGATAGGATAACAAGTCTTGTGGATAAGGGAGAAGCGGTAGATGTGGTATA